GGGTTTTTTTTTTTTTTTTTTTTTTTTTGTGCTGGGGATTGAAGTCGCGACTTTGGGCTTGTGAGGCAGGTGGCAGAACCACTGATCTAAATCCCCGGCCTGATGCAGGGTCTTTAAAAGGCTACGAGGCCTGACAGAATATGTCTTAAGGGCCAGTTTGCTTCCTCTGACCAGATGGTCTGTGAGGTCCTTATGGATTAATCAATGTCTCATGGTCCCTAGCAAAGAGAAGGGGTTAAGGGAAGTGTGTATCCCTTCCAACTGAGACTCAAAAAGAAAAAACCTCCAAATCCAACATATAACTTTCACAGATACATGTGGAGTGGGATACTGTGGCATCGGGCTCTGCTCATTTCCGTGTGCTCGGAGCACCCCTCCTTCCCTTTCCTTTCCCATGTGGCCTGGTCTTCATTTAGCTGAACCAACCTGAGTCTGTGTCAAAATGGGGAGGAAGGGGATCCAGAAGACTGTGCACAGTGAGCTGACCCTTCTAGGGGTAATACAGAAGGGAGGAACTCCCCGAATAGAAAGCCATTTCACCTTCATCCGTGTGTCCATGCATTAGTTATCCATGCATCCATCCACCCGACCACTGGTTTATCAGTGGTTGGATGTCAATTCATGGTTCGCATTGTTCGGCACTAGGGGCCCCACCAGCAATGGCCCCTTTGTTCAGAGCTCCCAAGGTCTTCACAGAATACAAATTTTTCTGCTAACTGATGAACTTCTGGGGAAAGGAATTTTTTCTACTTAGCACATCATAATAGCTCTTTTGTTAGTGGCCAGAATATCTTTCTCCATCAGGAGAGGAGCACTTAGAGCATCTTATCGAAAGATGCGGGGACTTAAGGACTCTTCCAGCTTACACTTCCTCCTTAATGTTTTATGATGGCAAATTTGCCACATTTTCAGGCCCTCCAGAAATGTCTGCAGATGGTGTGGAGCCCATAAAGAGTAGACCCACCTGTCAATAGCAGCCTTTTTGAGGGTGACTTTAGAGTTTACAGCAACTGCAAAGTACCTAGATGACTTGCCAACTCCTCCCCCATTCATTCCATTAAGTAAGTAATTAAGTACAGCATGTTAGCAGTGCTTCATATCCCTGTAGCAGACTCTCTCTGGCAGGGGAGGGCTCCACATCTGCTCCCTGGCTACTTTTGGGCCTCCCTTGTCGTAGGGTGAGGTCTGAGGGATGAGCCCAGGGGTTGCCTTGGACATTCTGATCTCCAGCCTGGCAGGGGATACTCATGGCTCACACTTCCTTTCTTGCACCTGGAAGGCCAGTACTGTTTCATCCCTGGCTGACCATGAGGCCCGAATAGTGTGGGCCTTCATCAGAGCTTGTGAGTACCAGTGCCCAGCTGGGTGGTAGGCAACTCATGGATCTGGCTTCTGGAACTTGTTGGTAGCTCTCAGTAAGTAGTCAGCTTCCCAGGCAGGGTGTCAGGACTGGGTTCTTGGCCGGCCTGAGGTATTGATCCCCTAAGCTGTGGATCGCAGGATAGCTCAAGCTCTCTGGACCTTCACCTCCAGCTCTGAGCAGTGTTGTCTGTTTATAGATACTGTTGTCTATGTTTCAAGTGTTTCCTGGTGCAAAAAAGTCTGATGAATACTGTCCTGATGCTCTATACTCAGATAGTAGCCGAGTGTCTCATCCCACCAGGCTGCCAGAGTAAGGCTCTGGGCCAGCTGTGATCTAGATGAGAGAAACTCTAGTTTCATTGTGTAAAAGAAT